CCAGCCCCAGCTCACTGGCTCTGCCCAGTGCTCAAGCGCTATTGCCAGCGCCTGTCTGGGCCGCATTCGCACTCTATCACGGCTCTGTCTCCCACCAGCGTGTATCTGTCCGCCCGCTGCTTCGGGCTATCTCGTGCACATCTTTGTCCGCCACAGCCGCTGGGCGCGCCCCGCACACACAAATTTACGTTTAAACTTCCTACTCCCATGAAGGGACTACCTAATAACGAGTTATTCCCACCATAAGGGAGAAACAGAAAAACATTTCCCACGAAGGGATCCTAAATATTGAATTATTCCCACTCTGAGGGAAAAATAAAAAACATTTGAAACAAAATTAAGCAAACAGACAGCAAAACTTCTAACCCCTGGGCTCGCTTGCTATTTAGCCAGCAACAATGAGGCCTACCTGTCGATTCTTTGTAATTCAGATGTTGCCGCTCTGCACTGGCAGAGAGAGCTCAGAGTTTCAGCTATCCTGAAAACTCTACAACTGGAAAAAGTCTTTACATCTTCCATTACCACTGGGAAGAGGCTTCTCTCTTTCCTTCATCTTTTTTCTACAGGGCCCCAAATCTTTAGGCCTAGTTTCAAAAATTTTTCCCCTTTTTACCAGGAAAATACTTTTTTCTTGATTAAAATTTTTTCTCCCTTTTCTAACAGGAAACTTCCTTTCCTTCCCTTTTCTCTATTGGGAAGATTTCCTTTTTCATTTAAAATCTTTAGCTGTCTTGCCCTTTCTTAATTTTGGTGCCTTCCTGCTTCAACAGTCCATTTAACTGACTGTGAGCTACCTGTACACATTTCAATCCACTCTCACCTGTAAAATGCCGGCCGGCCTTCCAAGAGTGTCCGTCAGCTGGTCCTTTTTACTCAGATCTCGGTGGAACCTCCATTTGTAGCGGTAACGCCCGCGTTACCGCTAACCGTTCACCATGTCCGAGCGAAGGGCTGCGGATTAAAAAATAGAGACAAGAGACAGCGGGTCATCCGTACGATTAGATGTCGAATGCCGTTTATTAAAAGAGGGAAGAAACCTTAAATACGTACAGGCTTACAACACAAATGGAGGAACCCCCGGAGGGCAGAAGTTCGCTGTCAATGGTCTACATTCCAAACTCAATGTTCTACAATCTAGCATCTAAGTAGTTAACGCTCAAAATACAGGATACACAACAAGAAACTTCCCTCAAGCATTCAAAAGGGTGGATACCGACAGGAAATCCAAATAGGGAAGACATCTGATCAAGGTCAAACAAACAAGGTTACAGCCACTCCCAGTCGGGGGCCAGGGCCCATGGCGCCCACACAGCAGCTACACACAACCCCAAAGGGTGTCACTGTATCCTTAATCAACAGAATGTCTGTTCTTTCCTTCCACGCAGCAATGTTAGGCTGTGTATTTATTTGCCAGACTGTTGGAGACACCCTTGTTGATTCTACTCAGGCTCTCTATTTTTAGGAAAAGAGCGGCACAACTCATTCCTGGCACCAGCTGTCAGAAGTGCTGGATTTCCTTCTCTGTTCTGTAATTCCTAGTGTGACCCTAAAGGAGGCTCAACCCCTTAAAGCCAATGTCTTGGCCTGGGAAGTACTTGGCTGCTGTATCGAATAAGGCTGACTATTTTGTTACCTACTATCTTGTCCTGAGAAAGGATGGGGTCTTCAGTGCAAGTTCTGAAATAAGCTTTGTGAAAGAAAGAGAGAGAGTGAACCATCCGGAGCTTCCACACCTGTGCAGCAGCTGCTTCGAGTGTTGACCTCTCCCCTCCACTCATGGGCTCCCACACCCTGCTCAGATGACGCCCCACAGCAAACAGGATCCCTGTGTTTAAGGCAGGCTGCTGTTACTCGGATGCTGCTTGGCTCCATTGAGTCTGTAGTTACCACCTCTGAGCAAACGATCTTGTCTCTGGTTGGGCAGCCTTAGCTTCCGAGGTGTCTTTGCCTTAACTTAGTGCTGTTTCTTCATCTTCCTCTTTGTCCTTTGCAGGGTATATCCCCAGCTATTTAGACAAGGATGAGCTGTGTGTAGTGTGTGGGGACAAAGCCACGGGGTACCACTACCGCTGCATCACCTGTGAAGGCTGTAAGGTAAGTGCCAGGGCCCCCAGCACAGACCACTGTGTAGCACTGTCCTCTCTCAGAGAGCCACTAGAACTCAGTATTAAAAAACAAAATATGACATTCATGGCCTCTGGCCATCAGGGGTCCATTGGGCCTCTTCATTTCTGACATGCTCAAGATCTGAATTTTCCTTTTTCCTAAATCATGACTAACTACATGAAATTTTGCACTAGTGTGGTGTTTTATTTTAAAACAGACACTAACAAAAAGAATAAATTAATAATACTTGAGTTTTAAAGCATAGTTTTTAATATACAATCACCCAATGCTTCACCGTTTCTCCTCCAGTTTTATGTGCAATGTCTGAGAAGACTGAGTCTGTTCCTCCACAGCCTTTTCTGCTGTGGATTTGCATGAACATGCCATTCTAAGGGTTCCATTAGGCAGAATCTTTGAAGCCACTTAGACTCAATTATGTTCCGGCATTTATTCAAAGTGGCTTTCTACAGAGCCTGTAATAAATGGAGTTAGGTTGCCATCAGGTAATTTTGTACTCTGCAAACCTTTCTTCAGGAGATTCTTGACAAAAATATACTGGTATGTTCACTTCTCCAAAGGGAGCTTACATCTGCCTACTTAAAATCTTCATCAGCAAAATGAAGATAAGCCCTATGGAAAAGATCTTTTGGTCCATTAACCTAAGTTAGAAAATAAACACAAGGAGGCTTAACCCAGTGTGGTACCCATGTAGCTGATGCTGTGTAAATGGGATGTATTAAAAACCAGGGAAGGACTTTGACATGTTTAAGATAAAACTTGTATTGAAGTTAAAAAAAACCATAACTTCCTCTTCCTCTTCCTCTTCCCTTCCCTTGCCTTCCTTCCTTTTCCATCTTTCCTCCATGCCCTCCTTCCTGCCCTTGCCTTTAAACCCCCACAATTAACAGGTTAGTTCCATTCACACCAAGGTGGGCTCCACTTCCCTAGTGGGAGATTTTCCATGCAGGTCCCCTGTTTTTTCACATAATATTAGGAAGCACCTCAGTGATACCTAGGCGTGTCTACAAAGGCAGCAAGCATGCTCCTTTCTCACACTCCTTTCTGAGGGCCTGGGACCTCATTTGCCACACCATCAGTTGGAATGTGTGTGAAGCAAGGGATTCTCATCTCCAATATCCTTTTGATACAGAATTTGCAGATGACAAGACTAGGCTAAAGGTTGTGTTGTTTCTATGAAAATAAGGTTATGTGGAGTTTAAAAAACTAATCACAAGTCCTGGCTGTTTATTAATTAGGAGACTTGCAGTTGCAAACCTGCTCTTGAAAGCCTGGTTTCATTGTTTCATTGGAAGGAATAAGGCTAGCTAGGTGTGGTGCCTCAGGCCTGTAATTCCAGCTATTTAAGACACTATCTCAGGAACACAGCAAGTTCCAGGCTATCCTGGGCTACTGGATAAGTTGGAGGCCAGCCTGGACAACTTACACCCTGTCTCAAAAATAAAAAGTAAAAAGTACTAAGCCAGGTGGTGTTGGCGCACGCCTTTAATCCCAGCACTCAGGAGGCAGAGGCAAGAGGATCGCTGAGTTCAATGCCAGCCTGGTCTACAGAGCAAGTTTCAGGACAGCCAGAGCTATACTGAGAAACCTTGTCTTAAAAAACAAAAACCAAAATGTACTAGGGATACAATGTACTAGGGATGTAGCAGAGTGCCATTATGTCCAAGCAATCCCTGGTTCTGGGGAAAGAGGAAGTAATAAGATTGTGTAACTTTAGGTTCATTCTCTTACTTCCAAAAACAATCACGGAAACTAATAATGGAAACTAGCCTTTTGTCTTTTCTTGTTTGCTTTTTCTGAATTGGCCCCCAATGCATAAAACTTCACCGTCCTGGTTACACCACAAATAATGCTTTTACAACAATATCATAAGATAAAATTTGAATTGAAAGAAAATACAATGAAAAGTCACCATGACTCTTAAGTCCCCAAAGCAGTTCAAAAGGCTAGCTGTGTATGACAGGATACAGTTCCAGCAACTTCCTGAACAAGGGAAGACTCAAGCTTTCACCCCTGACCCTACCTCACTAATGTCAACTAGCATTCCCCCAAGACTACTGGGTGTTTAGAGACTTGATTCAGCCAAGATTTCCTTAACAGAACTATCATACAGGGGCTAGAGAGAGGCTAGGTGATGGAGAGCAATTCCTGCTCTACCAGAGGACCTGAGTCCCCAGGACCCATATCAGACAGATCACAACTGCCTGTATCTCCAGCTCCAGGGGATCCAAAGTCCTCTCCGGGCTTCTGAGGACCCCTGCACATCTCAGGGTTTAACACACATGCACACACACACACACACACACACACACACACACACACACACACAATTTAAAATAAACCTTTAAAAACATAACAAGAAGCATCACACAGCATGACTGAGGCTTCACAGTGTCTGCCTGCCTATCAGATCAGTTCCTGTTCATGGGTTGCCCCCATCACAGACCTGGAAAGGAACCTGGGGGAGGGACAATCTAAAGATTTCTTAATATGATGAAGGAGCAACTTGGGAAAAGTGGAGTTTTTCTAATGTAACATCATCTTCAATGGTATCAAGAGATGAAAAGGTCACTCCTCAGTTTATTCAAACCTACAGTGTATACGGACAGAATCTGTATTGCCCTAGCAACAGAAAGATTTTGGAGTTTTTTACTGCTGTGATGTGTAACTTGTTACACACCCTGCGATTTATAGAAAGAAGGTTGAAGTTGCCCCAGCGCAGACCGTTTTCAAAGGAAGAGCTAAACACAACAGTTCCCTCTGAATCCTGAACTGAGTGGTATTCTAGTCTCGTGCTGTTGCTGTGAAAAAACTAACGAAAAGCAACTTATGGGAGGAAGGAATTTATTTGACTTACACTTGCAGGTCGAAAGCCATTATTGGAGGGGTCAGGGCAGGGGCTTGAAGCAGAAACAGGGAGGAAGCCTGCTTGCTGGCTTACCTGGCTTCCTTACACAGCCCAGGACCACCTACCCAGAGAGTGATGCCACCCACAGTGAGCTAAGCCCTCCTACATCAGTTAACAATAAAGACAATAAAGACGTGCTCATGGGGCAAAACTATCAGGGCAGTCCCACAATGGAGACTCCTCTGGTTGACTCTTAAGTTATGTGAAGATGACAGTGAATGCTTACTAGGATGCATAGTAACATAAGGTCCTTGTGTGTATGTGTGTGTGTGTGTGTGTGTGTGTGTGTGTGTGTGTGTGTGTGTGTGCTTTTGTTATTGTTGTTGATGTTGTTTTGAGACAGGGTTTCTCTGTGTAGCCCTTGCTATCCTGGAACCTGCTCTGTAGACCAGGCTGGCCTCAGACTCAGAGATCCACCCTGAGTTCTGGGTTTAAAGGCATGTGCCATCATGCCTGGCTACATAGAGGTCCTTATATCTTGCTAATCCATCATCTGGGAAATGAATCTGGCTCTTCTCTGAGTACAGAAATGTCTGGTGTAGGTTATAAAGGCAAGTCCTCCACTCACCTACAGTGAAACATGTCCTTACTTATTCCCTAAGAAGCCTCTTTTGTCAGCTCACAAAATTTGATGGGTGGGTGGGTTTTGGTGCTGGGGTCTGAACTCAGAGCTTCGTGCATGTTCAGCATATACTGTGCTACTGAACTACACCCCTGGAGTCCTAAAATGATTTTTTAAGTAAATGTTTTATCTTTAAGTTTACCTCCAGGAGTTAATTTTCATCACTTTTTTAAAATTAGAAGATCTATCATTGTTACATTTACCTAAAAGTAGTAATCCCTCATCACATGTCAAAACATGCTCTGCCACAGATTAGGGTAGTGTGGTAACATAAAAGGGACTTGGTCGGCGAAAGTCATCAGAGGTCCTCACAAAAGGTACAAGGAACAGCACAGCAAGCTGATGCAATTCTATTTTCCACAAAAGCAAAGTATCGGTTCTCTCATTTCATCAAAGAGTACATGGAATACCTTTGTGGAGATAGAGGGTCTACCCTCATTCTAGGACTCCTCTGCTCATCCTGCCCTGGTGTGCTCTTTATGAGCATCCAGTGTGAGGGAGAAAAGGGCTTATGAGCCTCCCTCCATCTCTGCAGATGTCCACATCCTCCCCTGGCTGGCTTCTAGGTAAACATGGCTTCCTCCAGAAGTGGGCATTGTCCTGCCGCTTCCCAGTCTGTACTAACCATCTGGCCAGAAATGCCTGGGTTTCTTTTGTCCCTTCTACCCCCTTACACAGAGAGTCAGAGTTAAGAATGGAAAAGCCAAATGGAAACTTGCATTTCATACTGGAGGCTTGCCACAAAATGTGGCCCTTTGGGCGGGATTCACCCAATCTGCACCTGGGTTTCCCACTTGGTACTGATGTCTCAAATGGCTGTTTGTGTGTGGTTCCTGGGCCATAACAAGCACATCCACATCATTCAGAGACATGCACACATGTTCAAGAACACAAAACCCTGATTATCCACATCATTCAGAGACATGCACACATGTTCAAGAACACAAAACCCTGATTATCCTCATCATTCAGAGGTGTGTACACACGTTCAAGAACACAAATCCCTTAGGCAATGAGTTTTCCTGTTAGAATGCAGTTTTGAAAAAAAAAGTCATATGCCTTAAAACCACAGATATGAGTCTCAGTTACTCCTGCTTTTCTCAATACAAGGTCCTACTATGGACTCTTTCATTACAAAGAAAAGCTCTGTCTGAGTGCGGGCTATGCAGCGGGGCGTGTGTCCACAACCAAAGCCATAAAAGGGGGGGGGGACAAAAGTGGGCAGAATCTCGGGCAACTGGTATTTCTCTAAAAAAGTGAGAGACCCCCCTTTGAGTTTTAGTAAAGAACTCTTTCAAAATGTGTTTGTTAGTTTAAATGAAAGTTTGGGAGATGAGCAAGAAGAAACTTTTTATATGTTTTGCTCATTTAAATAATACAACAAAACCATTTCATTGTATTATCAGGTAAGCAGTTAAGGAAATAAGATTTAGAATGCATATATGTATTGTGGGACACATTTGGAATCTGGAATCCCAGCATTCAGGAGACTAAATAAGAAGGATTACAAGTTCAAGGACATCTAGGACTATAGAGAAAGTTCCAAGCAAGCCCTGATTCCATAGCAATACCCTGTTTTAGGAAAAAAAAAATAATATGGAACATAGCTCCTGGGTTGTAAGCCAAGTGACCACATGATCTGTGGCAAGTGATTGAACACACCTAAGGCATGGTTTTGTAGTCTGCACAATGATATCATTAATAGAACCTCACAAGTAAGGTTGTGGAGCAAGGGGGCACAGAATGCATCTGCCTCTCTGTCTGTGTCCCTCACAGTCAGAGCTCACTACCATGTTAGTTCCTGTGCATTCATCAGTGGCCAGAACTTAGGACTCAAGTCCAGAAAGGCTCTGGACTAATGCCTTTAAGGCCCAGCATAGTGGTAAACTCCTAAATCCTAGCACCTGAGAGGCTGAGATGAGAGAGTCATGAGTTCAAAACCAGCCTAGAATATATAGAAAGTTGCATATTAGGCCAGCCTTGGCTACATAGCAAGACCCTGTATCAAAATAAATAAATAACAGTCTGGAGAAAGTTATGGAAATCAGCCAAAACTAGACTCCAGTAGTGTTCTTCAGAAAGGAGGAAGCATATTGAACTCCTATGCCCACAGACACTGGAGGGTACAGGGGCTTTAGATGTAAAAGCTCCAAGCTAGACTTTTCTGTTCTTAGAATCCTGTTGTTTGAAAGGTTGAGGGAGACATCTTTTTATTTTATTTTTTCCCCTTTTCTCTCATTTTTTTGAAAATAGATTCTTCTCTCATATAATGCATCCTGAACACAGTTTCCTCTCCCTCTACTCTTCCCAGCTTTGCCCCTACCTCCCCTCTCCCCCAGATCCACTCTGTGTCCTCTTTAGAAAAGAGCAGACATCCAAAAGACAACAGTCAAACAGGACAAAACAAGATACAATAAGACAAGGCAAAAGCCCTCATATCAAGACTGGACAAGGCAACCGAATAGGAGAAAAATACTCCCAAGAGCAGGCAAAGGAGTCAGAGACACACCTGCTCCCACAGTTAGGAGTCCCACAAAAACACCAAGTTAACAGCCATAACAGACACTCAGAGGACCTGGTGCAGATCCATGCAGGTCGTGCTGGCCACTTCAGTCTCTGAGAACCTAGACGAGCCCTGCTTGGTTGATTCAGTGGGCCACATTCTCCTCGTGTCCTCCATCCCCTCTGACTCCTACAATCTCCCCTCCCCTTCCATGGGGTTCCCCGATTTTGTAGGGGAAGGACCCAATGAAAACCTCCAATTTAGACTCTCTTGGCTCATAATGTCTGGCTGGGGGTCTCTGTATCTGCTCCTATCTGCTGCCAGAGGAAGCCTCTCTGACGATGACTGGACAAGGCACCCATCCATAAGTATAGAAGAATAATTAGGAGTCATTAGGAGTCCCAGCACATCTTGCAGGCAGGACAGATTGTAGGTCAAAGGTTTTGTGGCTACTTTGGTGTCCAGGTTTCTCTTTCTGTAGCCTGCAGAGTACCTTTCCACACCACAGAGACTAGAATGTAGGGGTGAAGGCTCCATGCAAGCACCAGATCGACCTCTCTATGTTCAATGAGCTGTGTGGATATTGTCCTCGACAATGGGCCCCACTGTCAGTTTTCAGAGAGCGACCCTCTGTCCCACCATCAGCCTGGGGTGTTTAGGAATCTCCACAGGACCTCCTAGCCCAACAATTCAACCAAATGTAATCCAGTCCCACCACTGGGAGCCTTGCCTAACTACAAAAGATAGCCAGTTCAAACTCCATATCCTCCATTACTAGGACTACCCTTATAGATTCTGGGAAGTTTCTATTGCAGTAGGTTTCCACACTACCACACCCCCAATGCTCCCAATTACAGCTGTCTCTCCCTGCACTCTCATCCTCCACCATCACCACCCCAACCTGATTCCTCCCGCTCCTGTCCTCATCTTCCTCCAGTCCACCCACAAGATTTATTCTATTTTCCCTTCCCAGGGAGGTTCATGCATGCCCCCCCAGAGCTCTCCTCTTTACCTAACCTCTCTGGGTCTATGCATTGTAGCTTGATTATCATTACTTAATAGTTAATGCCCACTTATAAGTGAGTACATACCATGTTTATCTTCCTGGGTTTGGGTTACTTCACTCAGGATGATTTTTTCAAGTTCCATTAAATTGCCTGCAAATTTCATGTTGCCATGTTTTAAACAGCTGAGTAATACTCCATTGTGTAAATGTACCACATTTACTTTATCCATTCTTCAGTTGAGGGACATCTAGCTCGTTTTCAGGTTCTGGCTATTATGAATGAAGCCACAATGAACATGGTTGAGCAAGTGTCCTTGTAGTATGATGGAGTGACCTTTGGGTATAGGTCATGGTCATTTTAGGACTCAAACATGAATCAAATAAAATCTCTAAATGTAATAAAGATATATTTAAGGCAGGTGGTGGTAGTGCACACCTTTAATCCCAGCACTCGGGAGGCAGAGCCAGGTGGATCTCTGTGAGTTCAAGGCCAGTCTGGACTACAGAGCAAGATCCAGGGCAGACACCAAAACTACACAGAGAAACCCTGTCTCGAAAAACCAATATATATATATATTGCCAAACAATTTAAAATGTTCTTGGTGTATGTTTCATTGTACGGAGTAGTAGGTTTCTTAAGGAAATATTCTTGCAAGTGTCTTTAAATAAAGAAACTGTCAATCAGGTATCCTGCTGTTCAGGATAAAGTAATAAAGCTTTTCATTCACTTAGCTTAGCAACATAATTATGATACCCTATGAAATAAAAGTTATACCACTCAGAGTATAGAAAAATAAAAGCAAAAACCAGATTGCCTGTCAGCTTTGTTTCCTTGAATAAATGCGGACAATGTAGACCTGTGAAAACTCCCTCAGCTCCTTGGATTCACTTGCATCCACCATCCTTTATTTGAGGGTATAAAGCTGGAGGCCCCAGCCCAGGCTAAGGCCAGCACAGTTGATCTCATTCTCAGTAGACACTAACTCCAGAGTCATCTAGTTTCAGAAAATATGAATGTTTTCTTGGGTCTTTCTTACTTAGGGTTTCTTTAGAAGAACCATTCAGAAAAGTCTCCATCCATCTTATTCCTGTAAATATGAAGGAAAATGCGTCATAGACAAAGTCACTCGCAACCAGTGCCAGGAATGTCGCTTTAAGAAATGCATCTATGTTGGCATGGCAACAGACTGTAAGTAGATGCTCTTCATTTGCTTGATACCAAGGAGTGTCAACTGGGGGAAGGGTTCAGTTCAAGATCAACAAAGAAAGCAGGAACCTCTGTGGACAGGCTGGCTCTTATACACACCCCTTCCTCCCTGCCTTGATGGAGGGGCGGTGGGAACCATTGGCTTTCTTCTTCCCAGCTCATCAATTCCCCACTTCCAAAGCATCCAGATGATGGGGGAAAGGGTGGTTAGGTCATCCCTGTGTGTGTTTGAAGGGTAGCCTATTAGCAAGCCTGTTCCACGCTTCAAATGAGAGAACTTGTCCGGGGAACATAGTCACTTCTCATAGCAGGCTTCATGTGTGGAGAGGTTTATAGACCAGTCCTTGGGTTTTCAAAAACAAATAAATTAATTTGGTTGACCTTTTTTGGAGATGTGGTACTGGCAGAAAACATCATGTACAAGAATTTTTTAAGAATTCAAAGTTGAATGTTCCCACATGAATCATCCCACTGTTGATTGCTTATTGTATTTTTAGCCAAAATTTTTTTTTTAGCTAAAGCTGTACTATCCAATTTTCTAAGTGCTATATCATAGGCCCTGGGGTCTCTCCTCCCAGCCCTCACCCAGGGATTTGCACCAGTCACCTTAATTATCATAAAAAAAAGAACTGTGCCATTAAGAATATGCATCCTCCCCTCTGCCAGGAATCAGTAAGAATGATTTCCACAGCCATCATGTTTATACATCAGAGGTTTCAATCATGAGTTTAAAAGAAAAGCACTGGAAAGAAAGAAAAGGCAATGAGAACTTTCCTGATATAAGAAAAAATAATCCTGCTTTATATTGGTACTGTAAATAGTGTTCTCCCTAGAGAATTAAAAAAAAAACTGTAATTCCTCATAGAGGAAAATGCTATGGAGAGTGTTAAGAGATCTATTAGGGTGTTGGGCTGGAAGTACTGTCCATCTGCACCTCAGGCCCAGGGCATCTTCAACTCTAAAGGATTGGACCCTTTTCTAACCAGGATGTGAACATGATTAGCTTAAAACCAAATACTAATATGTCACTGTTCCAAACCACCATTATTTAAGTAGCCATTTTATTGTTTTATTAAGTTTAAGGTGTGAGTAGTTATGGGATTAAAAATGCTCAAGGTCCAGCTAAACAGTGTGGATATACATTTTGAGGTTTTTTACTTGCTTATGAGGCATTTTAAAAGATCTAGGTTTCTCAACATAAAAACTCTGGACGGCCAGATATTTCATCAGGTAGAGGCACCTGCCACCAAGCTTGACAACCTAAACTCAATCCCTGTGACCCATATGATGGAAGGAGAAAACTGACTCCCACAGGTATCCTGTGACTGTGCTGTGGGCATGTACACACACACACACACACACACACACACACACACACACACACACACACTAAATTAAACAAATCATAATAAGATGAAAGAAGGAAGGAAAGAAGAGAGGAAGGGAGGGAGGGAGGGAGGGAGGGAGGGAGGGAGGAAAATCTCTGCCCGTCGCAAACCTACCACTACTAGGTACGTGATTCCAGAGTTAAGCTTTAGGTTTCTTGCTTGAGAAATCACCACCTACCTCACAGACTCAGGTCCAGGATTCAGGCTGTGACACATGTCAAATGCAACAGTGTGACATGCTGGAAGCCTTCCGGTGGTGGAGCTTTGGGCATTATGAGCCTTTAGCAAGTGAGCCAAAGTTGCCTCACAGGACTACTCCATGTTTCCCACATTAGCAAACACTCGTGTGACATTAAGATCCAATTCTGATGAGATCATCTGGGATTGCTTGTGAATTAGCTTCTTGCTGTGTCTGCCCTTTACATTGGACATTTACAAGGACAGTCAGTTGTAGGAACTGAAGCAAGAGTCCTGGGTCTTCCTCTGTCTCTACCATGAACTTGATGCATGACTTTAGGCAAATCGCAGTCTCTGGATAAGTTCCCTCCTCTGTGGAAAGATACTGGATAGATAAAAGATGAACTAGATACTGTCTGAGGTCATCTGACACCTGAGTCTTGGAAATGGGCAGATGGCTTGGGGTAGGAGTGCTTTCTGTGAAAGCAAGAAGACCAGAATTCTCACCACAAGCACCCACATAAAATCTGGCCATGGCCACATGTGCCTGTAACCCCAGTGTTGGTGGTGGAGACAGGTATATTTGTGGGACTCATTGGCCAGGAGCCTCATTGGCCAGGATCTGAACCTAACTGTAAGCTTCAGGTTCAGTGAGAGACCCTGGCTCAAATAATGTGAAGAGGGATTGAGGAAAACACCTGGCATACTTCTCTGGCCTCTGAATGTGTACACAAAGGTTCACACACACACACACACACACACACACACACACACACACACACACTTTTTAGGTAAAATAAGATGAATAGATGTTATGGTTCTGATTATCAACAGGCTTCTGTGAACCTACATGGTCAAAGGAGAATACCAAGTCCACAGTTATTCTCTGACCTTCACAATGTGCCTCAGTATATGTACACCTATCCCCCCCCACACACACACAATATAATAATAATCTTTAAATAAAATAAAACAAAACCTCAGTCTTACTATAAGTCTGGTAAAAGTCTCGTTTGGAAACTGACCACAGAAAGATAGGTTTCTTGTTCCTTTTTTGCGCAAATGGAAAAGCTTATGATTACACTCATTCAGCGCTTACAGTTCATTGCTATAGTGACTACCCTGTGCATGGGTTTAATTGATCCCATCTCATAAAGGGAGACATGAAACTCAGAGAGCCTAGGAAACTTGCTTAGAAGTCACACTGCTAGAAGGTGGTAGTGTCAGGATTCAAACCCAAGTCTTTCTAGGTTCCCAGCTAAGGTGCTTTATCTACCATCGAGGGTAGACCAGGTAAGAAGCCTTGGGAAGACATACCTGTGAGGCTCAAGAGAGTCCCAGCCGCATCACAGTCTGCCCTTATAGAAGCCAGGAAGAGTTCTTTTCCGTCCTATCACTACTCCAGCAGACCTCCTTAACCGGAAGTACAGAAGCCCCGGGAATGAATGCAGATGGCAGCCCACTTGATTTCCCAAGTAGTATGGGTTTTAATTCTCTCTGCTTCCGTCTGATTTTAGGGCCACTGCCTTCTGTAGAGCTGAGTTCCTGGTGCCCAGGTTCCTTCAAAGCTCTATTTTGTAAAATTGGTCTGGGCACTGGGAGCTTGGCACTGGGCTTATACTGGGCAGTGATTAATCAGAGGCAATGTGCTATGGAAAGGAGAATGTGCCTAGTGTGAACCTCTAAGCCAGTAGTTCTCAACCTGGTCACAACCCCTTTGCGGTCAAATGACCCTTTCACAGGAATCACCAAAAACCGTCAAACACCACAAATTTTCACATTATGATTCATAACAATAGCAAAATTACAGTTATGAAGTAGCAACAAACTAATTTTATGGTTGGAGGTTACCACGATGTGAGGAACTGTATAAAAGGGTCACAGCATTAGGGAGGTTGAGAATCGCTGCTCTAAGCCATCAAGCCCAGAGCCCCCAGGCTCAGAACCTACAGTCTGCTCCAAGCTCTCCATCACTGGTGGGTCCCTCTCACCTCTCTCCCTCCCAGTGGTACTGGATGACAGCAAACGGCTAGCCAAGCGGAAGCTGATAGAGGAGAACCGTGAGAAGAGGCGCCGGGAAGAGCTGCAGAAATCCATTGGGCACAAACCGGAGCCCACGGATGAGGAATGGGAGCTTATCAAGACGGTCACCGAGGCCCATGTGGCCACCAATGCCCAGGGCAGCCACTGGAAGCAGAAGCGGAAATTTCTGGTAAGGTTCCTTGCCAAGCTCACTATCCATGTATGTTCCCATTTTCTGGGTTAGAGTCCTCTGGACCCTGCTGCCGTTAGTGCCTCATTTTCCCGCCCGGGGGGCTTTGGGGGGGGGTGCCGAGGCTGCGAGTGCGGATGGTCATTCACTGGAGCCCAGAGCTGCTTGTTAGGCCTCTGACCTCAGGGTGCTTTTCCTGTTAATGAGGCCAGGGCTGGAACGTCTCCTCAGGAAATTCTGATACCTGCTGACTTACCCTTCTCCCCAACCCTTCTGCCTTCAGATTCCCAGTGTACATACTCAGCCTTTGAGGCTCATCCACATGCATGCCCCCTTGAACAGAATCTCTAGGAGGAAGGGTCCCAAACCTCAGCTCTTAGTGTTTGTTGTTGTTTCTTTATTTTTGCGATCATATTTTTTCATGATTTATTATTATTATTATTATTATTTTACATCCAGACCACAGTTTCCTCTCCCTTCTGTGGATGAAGTTTTTCTGTGTCCACCCGGCTCCTGTAGCTGCTCAGACCCAAGTAAACACACAGAGATTTATATTACTTATAAACTGTGTGGCCATGGCAGGCTTCTTGCTATCTCTTTCTTATATCTTAAATTGACCCATTTCTATTAATCTATAAGTTGCCACGTGGCTTGTGGCTTGCTGGTACTTTTACATCTCACTTCCTCTGTGTCTGGCTGGTGACTCCTGACTCAGCCTTCCCTTCCCAGAATTCTCCTCTCTCTTTATCCCACCTTTTTTCAAAAAGGAAGATTTTAACTTTAATGTAGTAAAATTACATATAACAAAACAATTATCAAGCAAGTATTATAGTTACAATATCTAGTCTGTTTGTATTTGGCAAAATTAAAGAAGATATCCTATCTATCCTATATTTGTGAGTCTAAGGTTTTTTATATTACTTTTATTTTTTCTTTAAAGACTTTATTTTTTAAAGTTATCATTTTTTATATAACTGTATATATTACTTTTTTTTCTCTTCCAAGCCTATGCATATGTGGACACAGAAAAACTTCAGCTATACCTTTCTCTCCTCACAGTCCCTTCCCATGATCTAAGTTTTTATCTGTAAAAGTCAAAATGCTAATCTAGGAATAAAAGCTTCAGTCCAGGAGCCAGGGAATAAGAGTGTAGGGATGGGGGAGGTATGGAGACAAGGCAGATCTTTTCAGATCTATGGATGCTTAGTCGATTTTACAGTGAAAGCCCTTGCCATCCATTTCTCAACCAGACTTCCTAGTACTCTGAGTTTGCTGGAGCTACTATCCCCATTTTACAGATGTGAAAACTAAGCCCATACACAGATGATATGACAGTAAGTGGCTAAGCCAGGCCCCAAAACCAAGCCTCTGGTCCAAGTCACCCCCACCCCACCTCATCAGACCTGCTCTAGCCAGTATCCAGCCACCTCTGAGACTGGCTGTGCCTTCAGTGTATGCAGTGGAAGTGCCTTGCTGGCAGCAAAGCCTGACGATCTGTCTGTACATCAGAGGCGCTCTCTTTAAATGAGAAGCTACAGTGGTGGAATTACCTATGCACTACAACAGCAGCATTATGATGCAGTGGCTTCAAGCTTGCAATCAGGACTACACAGAATGCCTAGGCAGGAAGATTGCAAGTTCAAGGCCTGCTTGAGCTCCAAGTCCAGACTAGGCAACTTAATAAGATCCTATCTCAAAAGTAAAAGCAAAGAAAGAGCCCGGGATACAGCTCAGCCAGAGAGCACTTGCTGGGCCCCATGAGGTCCTGGGCCAATCCCCAGGACCAACAATAACAATCATGAAGGGAATTTGGGGGGAGAAAAGGCTATGCATAATCCACCTGTTCTGAAACAAATTCTCTCACACGTCACCAGTACTTTGATGATGGTCTCTAGAAAAGTCACCAAACACCCAAGGGATTCGAGCCTCAACTCTTGGGGCCCTACTGTCCCCTCCCTCTGCCAACCCTACAGGTGTGGACATGGGAAGCTGACGGGGCTCCCTCAGCTAGATTGTGCCGGAACATGGGGAGCATGTGCAGCCGGTGCCCCATCTGTCTAGACTCCTCCTGCCTACCACCCGCGTAGCCTTACTGAATGGGAGGGCAGCGCCCTGGTACTTTACCTTCGGCCCCACCCCGGTGTGCCTGTCCAGAAATTAAACTGCACTAATTCTGAATCAACAGGCCAATTCCAAACCAATCCATCTAGACCCTATCAGTGCCGAGCCCAGCATGCCCACAGGCCTCCTCGGTCCACCTCAGTCCATCCTCACGTGTGGGCCACAGCCAGGCCTGGAGCTCCGTTCTGATTTCAAGTAATCCACAGGAAGTGGAATTCAAGCTGAGTTCTGAGTCAGATGGAGGAGTCAGGCCCGGTCTGGACTTCTGGGGAATTTTATGCTTTCATTTTTTTACCTCTAGATGGGGATGAATCTAACTAACCCTGTTTCTGTCATCACTCAAGTGTTTCTATTCAGAGTCTAAGGATTTATCCTCTTAAGTTATGTTTATGCGTGTATGTGTGTGTGGGGATAAGTGTATATGCGTACATGTGTATCTCTGTGGGGATATGTTTTTGTGTGTGTGTCTGTGTCTGTGTGGGGATAAGTGTGTGTACATGTGTCTCTGTGTGGGAATGTGAGTATGTGTGTGTATATGTGTCTGTGTAGGGATGTGTGTGTACATGTGTATCTCTGTGGGGATATGTTTTTGTGTGTGTGTCTGTGTCTGTGTGGGGATAAGTGTCTGTGTGTACATGTGTGTCTGTGTGGGGGTATGCATGTGTGTGGGGGGGGGATATGTGTGTGTGTGTGTGTGTGTGTACATGTGTGTCTGTGTGGGAATATATATGGGGGCATAAGTGTATGTGTGTGCATATGTGTCTGTGTAGGGATATGTATATGTGTGTGCATGTGTGTCTGTGGGTACATGTGTACCTGTGTGGGGATATGTGTGTGCATGTGTGTCTGTGGGTACATGTGTATCTGTGTGGGGCTATGTGTGTATGTTCATGTGTGTATGTGGGTGCAGATGCCCCTAGAGGCCAGAGGTGTCAGATCCCTTTGGAGCTGGGGATACAGGTGGTTGTGAGGCCCCTAATGAGAGTGCTACGAACTCAACTTGGGTCCTTTGCAAGAGCAGTATGCACTCTTAACCTGAGCTATCTCTCCACCCCAAGACTAGCAAGCAGGCCTGCCTCCAAGCTCTCACTTGAGTTCTTGCCCTGGCTCCCGGCAGGGAGCGGCTAGGACAGGAAGTATAGGTAAATAAGCCCCGTTAAGTTGCTTTTGGCGAGGGTGTTTCATCACAGCAATGGAAAGCAAATGAGCAGTATCCGTGTACTGAAAGGTCGCCATGGACAGAGGGATGGTCTAGGGCTTATGTTTCCTCTTTGTGCTTAGAGTACTGCATACTGTTTCATTGTTGGTTTGGGTTTTTTTGTTTGTTTGTTTGTTTGTTTGTTTGTTTTTTGTTTTGGTTTGGTTTGGTTTTTGGTTTTTGGTTTTTTTTGGTTTTTTGGTTTTTTGAGACAGGGTTTCTCTGTGTAGCTTTGCGCCTTTCCTGGAGCTCACTTGGTAGCCCAGGCTGGCCTCGAACTCACAGAGATCCGCCTGGCTCTGCCTCCCGAGTGCTGGGATTAAAGGCGTGCGCCACCACCGCCCGGCCTTGTTTCATTGGTTTTTATGTGCTGATGTTCCGCCTTGTTCTGGAGAAGGAGTGAAGAGGCTGGTGGCCTTGGTAGTGCGGTCGCTGTGAGGGACTGAGAATCTTGTGCTGTCATAGAAGCTGTACTATTCATTGACCAGGAGTGAGTGTCTGGTCTCCAAAAGGAACAACTTCTTCCTTTGCCCTCAAGGACAGACTCCAACCAAATCAGGAAAAGAGGTGGTGGGTTGATCTGGTTTTCAGATCTGTGTTTCCATCTGAGAAAATGAGAGTGTTTGGCAAATGAGGAACTTTTGTGAAATCCATGCCATTTCATAATGAACCTAAACCCATGCTGTCAAGCCGCATCCAGAAGCATTTAAATTATGTTGTTTTCGTGCTTTTCGTCAATCCACTTCAATCTCCGGGGTTACAGAAGTGTTTTCAACAGTGAAGACACTGTTATGAAAAGCAGAAGTGGGCTGGGAAGGGAGGCTTGTTTCTGCCCTCTCCATGGCAGGAAGACGCTGGCACAAATCCCACACCCTCTGCAGCCTGCTGTGCACGTGGCCGTCGTCATCTGGCGACACTGTGCACTGTTCTCCTCCCTGGTGCACTAGAGGGGGCAGCTGGCAGACTTTCTGCACAAGAATGAAACGTGACCTTTAGAGTCAGGACAGACCTGCCCGATTTCTCCCTGTGCAGTGTCAGAGGGGCACAGACCGGAGGGTCAGAGAGGTGCATCTGTGGTCTGCATGGTCAGATCCTACAGATGATCTGTCACCCCAAATCATCATCATTTCAGAAGCAGGCAGGAGAGCCTAGCTGTGTGGGGACAGACACTGGAGCCCAGATCTAGTCACACATACACACACACACACACCTACAGTTCATTTGCCTTGTGACCATCTCAAATGGTGTAAAAACTGTTCACTGTAAAGGATACAGCCTGGCACCCCGTGCCCCATGGCATCCCGTGCCCCACGGCATCCCGTGCCCCACGGCATCCCGTGCTCCATGCCTCATCCCACCCCTCCCCACTCTCACCGTCTTATCCCATTCATCTCAGGAAGCAGAGGCCTGAAGTCGTGTCCCAGACCCCAAGGCCCTGAATGCATCCCTGTCCTTCTCCATGGCTTTGTAATGGTGTGAGCAGACACCTGCTGAACAGAGAGGACTCATCCACCTGGCCAAATCCCACTCTGTCAGTGCCAGGGAGCTGCCAGCCTAAGCTGAGATGTCCTTGGCTTCCAGCCAGCCATTTGAAACAAGGCCAACTGGCCACATCTCCTACTTACCTCCGACAATGCTAAGGAAACCTCAACACAGAGGGCCAGCTGGCAGAGGTGTGTGT